TTTGACTTGAGACAGCCCTCAGTGGGCCGCAAAAGTCTATTTCAACAAAGAATTAAAAATTTAATTAAAACATGGTTATATTTAACAAAACAAATCCCCAAACCAACAACAACCGTGCATAAGATGTTTGGGTTTTTGTTGGGTTTTTTTGTTTGTTTGTTTGTTTTAATCAAAAACCAAACACCACCACACTTTATATCTTTTGCTGTTCTGTGCGTTCACAACACTGATTGTAGAAGCTTTTAGCAGACGCTAGGAAGTTTTTGCTGGTATGTGTTCAAGTGAAATAGCTTCCAAAATAAGAGACAATCTGAAGGTTAATAAAAAACTGCCACCTTCATAAGTTTCCACAAATAATAAACTTAAAACATCAGATAATTTCCAGCTATCAGATATTTCAATACTTCAGTTTACTGTGGGGTTTTTTTCCTGAGGCATAGTCAGAGAAATGGCTAAAGGAACTGTAATGGCCTTCTGGGACAGGAAGACTAAGGTTTCTGTAAAAAATGTTAAATTAATTTTTATAGTGATGCAAAGTCAGGGAAGGGTTGTTAAGGGATGGCCTCTTGCCACAGGGTGGAGTTTTGTTTTGGTATCCTTTTAGAGTCTGCAGGTGTTTGGCAGGAGCTGAAATCAGGGCCAGCTGTGATATTTCAGCTCCGATATTTCCCTCCCCATATTTCTCAGAAGTGATGCATCAGGGTGATGTCTTACACCTGATGTACTCAACTTGTGTGGTATGACTGTAACTGCTTTGCGGGGGGAAGTACCACTGCATGGCTTTCATATTCATTTTCAGCTGGCAGCATTCATATAGTAAAATTCATCAACATGAATGGATTTAATCTGGCAAAACATCAGATAACAAACAATTTCTTAAACTGCCCATAATATTTCTGGGTTGGTTTGTTGCTTCTTATATATGGCAGCCATTTAATTAAAGTCATAACACTGTATAAGAACTGTGAAAGAAATTACATTGAGAAAAAGGGGACGGTAATGTTTTAAAGAAAACAAAAACCCCTTCAGTCCCCTCACTTAACCGGCAAAGATCTTTGTTCTTTCATACTTAGCTGCAGTACAGTGCGTACCTGGTTTTGTTTTATCTTTTGGGAGAATTCGAATAGTTTCTATTAAAAATGGTATTCTCTTTTAAGTTTGTTTTGTTTGGAAAACCTCAAACCACATTGTATTTCATACACATGTTCCCCAGGGTATGTTAAATGGGACCATACTGAGGTCACTAGCAAGTTTTTAAAACGTTTAAGAATTCCTTTAATGTTTGTGCTATCTTGGCCTGGTTAAAAGAACACATTTTTAAAAAAATAGCTTGAAAAAGTTTGACTATAAAAAACTTCATTAAAATAGTCTATACTGTACTTTTAAGAGTTTGCAAGAACTTTTACAAACATTCTTTCCTCCCTCTCATTTTTAAGAAAATTGTTCCCTTAACTAGTGAATCTGCTCCTCTTTCTTTCAGCCTTTTTATCCATACATGCACAAGTACACATATACTTCTATCCACAGACTGATTGACTTAGCAGTACGAATGCCTGTGGTATTCATTTTAACTTCACAAATGAATAAAAGATTATAATCAGTGGGAAAAGTGGATGTTTCACTCCATTCATGGAAAAAACAGTATCACCTGGCACTCCAACTTAGCAAAAAAATTTCATGTTTTTTGGCAGCTCACTTGGAGTATGATTGAAGCTGTTAATGGTATTAGCAAAATGTCCTGGGATCAAAAATGTGTTGTTTTATCTCAGTTTATAGAAGAAGTTATACAAACCACTCACGGCCTTAAGAGTTCTGAGGTCCTTTTAGTTAGAATAAAATAAAAGTTGAAAACATGACCCACCTGTAGCTGCTTAAGTTCCACTCAACCATTTCAGCCATCTCCTTTACTTGTCTTTCCTATGTCCTCGGACTTGCTTCCACTCCTCCCTTGCATTATTCCAACCCCCTCCCAGGACTTCTGTCTTTGTCTGGTACCAGCCCAGTGCATCCTTTGCAGCATTACTGACAGCTGAGGTGGCATATGCTTTAATGATTGTTGACATCCACACAGTGCATCTTGGTCACTAATGGTGTGAGACTGCACTTACAATGAATGATGGTTGCATTATGGATATCAAAATCCGTAGATCAAATAGGAAGACAATGGCAATAACATGAAATTAAAAAATGGAATTGTGCCTAGATCCAATTCTGCTGGTAACACCCAAAATTGAAGAGGTTACCAAAAACCTGGGTATTATCTATTAGAGGTAGATTACAGTTTGTATATATTGAAGTATCACCAGGTTTGATGTTTTTCTGGAGTCTTTGCAATGGTTGAAAGCAAATAATTATGAAAAGCAGATTACTGCCTTATGATAAACTCTTTCATTTTACATCACAGCGTTTCTACTTGTTGTTATACAGTATTAGTAAGCAAGGTTATTAAATGCAAGCCGAGTGACATCTTTCCTAGAAATGCATTTTCTGATCTAAACTGATTCTGAAAAAAACCCACCATATTATAATGGGAGCACTGTGAAAAATTATTACAAAGTTCTTATACTTTACGACTGAGTTGAGCTTTACACATGAGAAAAATCTTGCTGTGATTACAATATGTTGGCAGTGGTGGGTGGCGGGTTTTCCGTGTTATAACTGGGATTTCATAGTGCAGAGGATACTTAGATTACAGATTCTCAGGTGCTGCAAGACTTCTTCCCTAGTCTTAGATACAGTCTCAGGGCACTGTCATGATTTTTGAGGTTTCAGAAACCAAAGTTGCAGACTGGCTTATGAAAGAGCAAAGCTATACACAAGCACGTGTGTTTATCTCAGGCGCGTGCTGTCTATAGAGCAGCAGAAGGATGAGCAAGTGGATGGGGACTCAGCAAGGTACAATGGCAAAAAACTACAGTTCAGAAGAAATGTGAAGGTGAAAAGCTTTGCTTGAACTATCCCATAGCCTCTAAATCCAAGCTACGGATCGGTGACTTAGGGCAATGAAGCCACCTGTGAAGAGCTGAAGTCTTCACTGTCAAAGTAAAAATTTCTGTAGAAATTAGAAAAGTATACTTAAGAGGCTGAGTATGCTACCCTCCGAATTGCAGGTCTGCTGGATGGCCTCTCGGATACGTAAAGGTGGAGTGGGAAGCTTAATTTTACATAAGTGATGTAAAGCAAATATCTTGTCATAAGGGTACTACCTTAAAATGTCAACACTTTTGCATATTTCAAGAAAGAAGAGGAAAGAACTGCAGTCTTCTTTTTCCCCCCCGTTCCCCTTGAACAGAACAATAACTGAGTGAAAATGCTTAAGGAGGCAGGCAGCACCAGAAACAAAACGAACGTATATGCAGCACTCCACAAATACTGACATTTCGTTTCCAATAGTAATAACAACACCATGTCTGAGTGCCACTTATTTCAGAGAAGGGTGTAGAAAAAACAACGTTTTCAAGCAGTTTCATGAGGAAAAAAATAGATCAGTATGCCCCTTTACGGGAAAATATTTTGAAAAACCTGCCATATGATGGTATCTGACTGCAAAGGACTGTGATACCTTTTACCTCCATGCTAACGATGTCAGGTTATTTAATATTTAGACAAATTCTAACAAGAACAAGGTAACCAAGCTAACCTCTTTTCAATTTGGTAGGTAGTGGCCATCCCACAACATACTAAGTTTTAAAAAGATGTTTCTTTCAAAGTGGACCTGACTTCTTAAAATTCACAGCGTCAAAAAAAAGCAAAGAATATTTTTCCAATGTTGCCCCAAGTACAGCCAAGTCAACCACGTTCTGAGTAAAACAAAGACTCTTGCTGTATGTTCTTCAAAGCCCAACCTTAACCCCTGTGAAAGTTATGAAGTGAAAAATTTGGCCCATACATACTTTACAGCATGGTACTACATCATTTTAAGGAGAAAGAGCATATTTATTTAAGAAAAAAATATTTTTTACTTGCAGTAGCTTAACAAATATTATCTTATACCTCTAAAACTATAATAAACATAAACATATTTATTATAAACATATTTTCTTATAATAGAGATTGTTTTGCCTGTTCTTCTTTCCCAGGGACTACAATCGTATTCACAATCCTGACAAACACTTTTTGACAGTAGACATGGACACATACAAAATTGGCTGCTTTTTTTTCCTCCATTGGCAAATCATTTCTCTGGTTACTCCCATTATTAGAAATTAATTTAAAGGAGATTCATCGCACAATAGAATAGCCATAAAGTACTGTTGCACTATTCAAGACAGTGTAATTCAGTTTGTGTTGGGCCCTTTCACTCATCGTAAGCCAGAGGGTGGGAAGAAGGGGAGGGATCAGGGAATACGCAGATATCATAACTCCACAGATACTAAAAAATAAAAATATTTTTATAACTAAGTATAGATGCAATTCAGTGAAAGATTTTAAATTTAAAATAAATAAATAAAAATCTGAAGCGTTCTCAGCAGGGAAACCACCAGGCAAATAAAAGTTTGAAATCTTTCTCTGTGTCACTTTTGTGCTTTGTTTTTGTTTCCAGTCAAAAAAACTGCCCATTTTTCTCAAACAGTATAGGTTCTGGTTATCCATACTCTGTACAAAAATGTCAGTTTCTTGTGGACAGCAAGAAAGGTACTTTTCTGCATATTTATCTGACAAAACGCAATTACATAATATATTACAGTTTCTTTCCCTGTTTTACCAGCCATTTCTGAAAGACAGACTCCATACAAGACATGGAATACCTATGGTTTAAAGAATTATGGCACAATCTGTGTTCCCAAGCATATAATTCCCTTAAAGATCTGTATTTATTTCTTATTATGCCATATTATTGGCTTAAACTCAATCCGCCATATAACTTAATCCACCATATAACTCTCAAATCCCATTTTAAAGTAGCTGAAATCAGGTCTGAGTGGCAAGAAAAGTGATCATTAGTCAGCATTTGTAAAACACATGTAATAACATATAGAAAAGACTTGGTGAGAACCAACCTGAGGATCCGAGAATACTTGCTGCATATTGTTGATTGGGCCATATGGAACCCCACTACCTTCAAAGAGCTGCAACCACTCAATCGTTGCTTTTTCTGAAAACCTGAGAGCAAATAAGAAGCATGTGGTTTCAACTCCGTGCTTTCAGATTCTGAGAAATGTATAGCATGTCCCCTCCCTCTCTCACTGCTTCCATACTCTTCCCCACTGATTTCTTCCCAGGCAGTGAATAACATAGAGAAAATCCACTACACGTGTTCTTCAGAAATGCAACCCCCAAAGACGTAGGGGAAAGAACATAGCTGAACTGACTTTTATTTCTATCTGATTATCTGAAGCAACCCAGCAATGATGCAAAGCTAAATTTATCAGCAGTTTCAAATAAGGATCCAGTCCTTAATTACACTAATGTGCTTTACATTTGTTTTCTTTTATGTACATATTTAACAACATAAAGATATATATAACGCGGGTTCGAGTCTAACATACAACACTGCTCACTAAAAGCTGATGTGAAGCACCACAGTGTTTTTCCTCCATTACATCCAAAACATATGTCAGGATTAACAGCCACATTTTTTGATCAGATAACAACATTGATTACATACTTATTTGTTGCATGATTGTATAATCTATCCTAAGGACATATATATACTACCTGCGCTGGTGAACACAGAGCTCCATGTCCTTATATCACATAAAAAGAAATGAGCTGAGCTTTTTGTAAGCATTCAATTCCATATCTAGCAGCACCACTCTATTTCCCCTTTTTTGCTAGATACTTTTTCTTTCCTTGTCTACCTGGCAGTTACATATGTGAAGAGAACACATTCTTGAAGCAACACCAGTCACTGAGAGATAGTGTTTTCTGCAGCTGTCCGGGATTCTAAATCAAAGGTGAACTTATTTGGAGATCATACCTTAAATTTCATGAAGGTAAATAACACAGAGGTCTGCCAGATTATTAGAAAGGAAAGATCTACTTCATAATACGTACAACACTTAAAAGAAATTAGGTGTGATTCAAAGACCTGATGGAAATTAAATTAATAGAACCTTGATAAGGGACACTCTATTACTGGTATTCCGTAGCTCACTAGTTCAGAGTTCCTCAAGTGTTATCCGGAACAATGTCAGTAACATTCAGCTTTACTTCTAGCATGCTATTATGTAAAAAAAAAAAAAAAAACCCCAAAACACCAAAAAAAACCCCAACCTTCCAAGTTTCTGACAGAAAGTTAACATAGACAAAACCCAAAAGCATGAAACACCTTAAATCAGTACGAAGTCAAACTTTGTAAACTTCTTTTTATATATATGCAGAAATTGCCTGCAAAGTATTTCATGCTGCTTTTAGGCTAAGGAGAAAAAAACCTAGTGATTGTGACAATTTACAGTTATATTAAGTATATGGCACAGGTACGCATCCAAGCTTCATAGTTAATGCCTTTCTCCCTGTGCAGGAATGACTTCCCAAAGCTTTGAGGGAATAAATCCTGATACCCAATGCATTTTGCACTCTAAATAAATAGGAAAATACACAAGTTTTGCACTGCTCTTCCTCAGAAACAGAAGCTTTACTCCTGCTAAAAAACTGCTGAATACACGTGAAATTAACAAATAATGCCAATAAAAACAGAAGGAGCAGTAATACAGAAAAATCAGAATAAAAGGCTTTAAAAGTGCAAAATGTACTACAAAATGAAGCATGACTTCTAAAGAAAACAGATATAAGATTATTGCACTGTTGGATTATATGCTTCATTAAATATTCAAGTTATTTTATGGTAAAGATGTGTCCAAGAGTGCTATTTTCTTTATGTCTGAGTACATCTAGGGTCCATCTAATTTAGTATTTTATCGCTGACCATATTTGGAACCAGGTAAACTACAGGAAACTGGGGAAAAAAGGTACCTACAGAGAGGCAGATAACCTTCCTTCCTTGGTGACTGCAGCCCTTCGGAATGCATGAGTTTAATCTAAAATATAATTTGTATTTCCCTTCAGTACTCTCTGTTTGGCAACAGTTCTCAATCCATATATTTTTGTTATTCGTAGCCTTCTGTTACTAAGGTTTGGGGCTCAAACTATTGCATGGTGTAAATATGATTCACACGAAAAACTCTTTCCCCATCAGTTATTGGTGCTATTTATACAAAACTGTGCTGATTCTATGCTAGCAACTGAGCCACTTCTCTCCTGATATGCTTCATAATTCACAGACACCCAAGTTTTCTGCTACTACTTTTTCCTGACACCTCAACCTCCACTGTTATTTCCTTTCTAACAAAAGGCCACACAGCTACAAGAGGACTCTTGGACTCAGCATCATAACCATGGTGCCGAAGACCATCACTAACTCTTAATATTTGTATCATCATTCCCCTGATCTATTAGTAATGAATAAGCCCTGCTATGTTACGTTCCTTGTACTTCTTTTTATGAAAGAATTTATAAATATCCTCCAGAGTTTGAAAACACAAACAACTTTTGGATTTAAAGGACACTCTGAAAATTAAATCTTTTCAAAGAGAGAAAACATCTGCATAATCAGTACGCTACTTCCTGATGTCATGGTAAATCTGAATCATTTTCAAGACATACATTCTTCTTCAGTAACGTTATTACGAGTAACTCAACGGGGTGTACGAATTTCTGAAATTTTAGCTTCTGCTTAGATTTTTCCTTCCCATGTAACAGACCAAAAAAAAAAAAAACCACAATTTTGTAGAAAACAAAAGATGTTCTAAGAAATACTTGTTTTGAATGGACCTAACAATTGTCTTCGCCTTCCTTATTAACTTATTTATTGGTGGTTGGAGAGAATTCCTAAAAGCTTTAGACTCAAAGATGTAAAATCCCACATTCCATCACCCTCAAAGGAGACACACAGCATTTTCTCTTGAAACTGAAACTGTTGACCTAAATCTCATGTAGAATAGCTTCCTTTATTTGTGGTAAAAAGAAGCTGTTGAGAGCATACTGTTAAGCAAACTGTTTAAAAACAAAACAGAACATCACCACTGCCAATAAAGGTCTATTATTCAGATTTTGAGAGCAACAGCATGCAACTATTTGGTTCATTCAGTTATGTTTTATATATTAAAACATCTGTTGTATAACATTAAGGCAGAAATACTGTTTCAAAATCTGATAAAAGATAAGGTATGAGTAAAAAATGCCCAAGCTTACCTCTCTGATGTCAGCTGCACAAGCTGCATAAACTTTCAATTTAATTTTTTTTTTTTTTTTGCTAACCCATATGCATCATTCCCTGTACCTAAATATAATTCTTTAACAGCACTTACACAAATAAATACTATAAACTTTCTTTACAGTAAAGGGCTGATGTTTAGGTTGCTAGGTATCAATTGATATCATACTCAGCACTCCAAAATATCAAGTAAAGAACTTCAAGAAAAACTTCGAAGAGAAGTAAAAGATTAAATTGTCTCCTGAAAAGAAAAATCTCTGTCAGCAAGAATTTACAAGGCCCGGCCAATCCTTTTCCTCTTAACGCTTGTTCTAAAACATTTTTCTATGCTTTCATATTGTCTTTTATAAGTAGCCTACTTAGTACATAGTTTCTTTTTCTTAACTGAAAAATGTGCAATGTCATCTACTGTCTTTCAGTGGGAAAAAAGTATTTTTTGTACACATATATAAATAGAATCACTGATGGAAATACATATAAGGCTAAACAATGGTCCACCTTCCAAACTTAAGCTAGTAAAAAAACCATCCAAGACTGTCCAGCATCTGAACTCTGAAGCATGACACTTGCACACGCATCTTTATCTGTCCATGGAACCTCAATGCTACTCAGTGACTGCAGGAGAGCTCAACCATGTGATTCACACTACAGCTTCATTTATTTCCAGATGAGTCCCTTTTCTCCAAAATTCTCCATCTACTATAGATATAATCACATAAATGCCATTTAAATTATCTATGATTTATTTGTAGAATCATTTTAAATGTGTAGCTTAGCTTTCTACACTTATTACAAGTATTTTAGAAGTTCAGATTAATTTACTTTTTACTGTACTAGTCTGTGGTATGAAGCTTGAATGCAGGCTCTTTCTGAAAAAAAAACACTGAAAAAAGAAGGATACGTGCCCCAGTGGAGAACAAATCCATTGCTAAGACCTTCACTGCAAAGCCTGTACTACAGCTTCCCTCACTAAAAAAAAGGCAGTAATCTCCGTGATGTCTTGTTTGCATTTTAAGCAGCACCCTAAGCCTCCTCTGCATTGAATTACACAGCACTCATGAAGCTACTGAAGTTGTAATACTGAAATGAGGCATCAGATTCTGAAACATTTAACATTAAAGATATTTTATGCTTTAAAATATTATAAGAATAGAAAGTGTAGCATAAGCTGAACTAATTGAAATGCTGTTTCATGGGAAGAAATCCACCCAAATATATTTTTCCCCAATTCATAAATCTAGCAGGCACCATTAAATGAGAAACTCTAAATTTAAACTACACACTCAGTAAATTAATCAAAAAACATTACAATACAAGAAAAAGCTTCCAAAAGTCCAAAAATTAAATATCAAATAAAAAGGGCTTACATCATATTTCTTTACATAAACCGCAAGTGTAGTTTTGCTTCTTAAAAAGTAGGACCTAAATGCCCTTCTGCTTTCTAACAAATTCTAATAAAAAAAAAAAAGGAGAATGGATTATTAATTGCAAAAAAGAAAGAAGTGTCTGTTTACTTGCACAAGTTGGATAAAATAGCTTTAATGAGTTAGAAACATACCTGAGTTCTATTAAAATGTACTAGGTTTCTCATCCTGTTAATTATTAATACTAAAAAGGAAACAAAGTTTACCGATGTTCTGTCTTTCAATAAAATAAAGACTTGTAAAGCATTAATTAATCCACTTTGTGTGCATTCTTTGCACATATCCCATTTTCTGTTTCCTAGGAAACCTTCAATCATTGCTACATCCTATGTGGAAGGGCATCCTCAGTTCTCTAAGGGATAAAACCATCCAATTCCACACAAAGTAAGTTTAGAAGAACTACTGAAGCAAAATACTGCTGTTTTCTATAGGAAGCTTATGGCAATTAATTTAGAGAAGTAATT